GGGCTGTCTGGGTCTTGGCAATTAGGAGGGCATAAAGGCAAGATCCCATTCGCTATGCCAAAAGAGAGGTCCTGGGGTGGCAATGGTCTCTCAGCAGATCCCGGGGTTCTTCTAATGACATTATTTTCAGGGTGCCCTCTATATTATTCTTTGGACCACCACCCCACAACTAATCTGGACCATGGCCATTTCTGTGGAAGCCTCCTATCTTTAGGTGGCTTTTACTTCCAAAGTTGTAGCCTGAGATACTGCATCTGTATCTCTGGGTCTACTGGACGGAATGACTGAATTGGAGGGACTGCAGAAATGTTCAAGGAAACACATCCTTCACGAGTAAGCTGAACCCCTTGCCTTGGACAACTGATTTCAGTGGATGTTAGAGATCCAACAGGGAAATTTTACAGTATACTGAATCACTGGGGAAAATGGAGTCCTGATGTTTCTAAAGGTAAATATGTACATCTGAAGACCTGCCAGACTAGGATTGGGATGTTGTGTGGTCTACACTGGAGTAACTGATAGGTCAAGTGCACCAATGGACTCATGCCAGTAGTGTCCCCATCAGCCTCTGGTTACCCCAGTGTGTCCTTGCAACATGCTGATGAATACCACAACCCTGGCTCTGATTGTAGGCACTGGGTTTTACTGAGCAATAATGAAAATATTTTCAAATAATACAAATAACTATAGAGTTCTTGCATTTTATAGATTATCGGTGTGAAAAAGAAGTGGGTTTTTTTCTACCTAATCAAAATGTACTCTTTAGACAGAAATAAAAATAGAGCTAATAATATATTTTTTTGGTGGTGGTGCTACTGAGGTTTGAACTCAGGGCCTTGTGCTTGCTAGGCAGGTGCTCTACCACTTGAGCTACACCTCCAGCTGGTGTTCCTATTCTTTTAGAAAGAATTCGTTTTTCTGATTTCTTCTTATAAAGGATACTTCTGGGCTGTAATTCGGTCTCTTGAATATACAATAGCACCTTCAGCAGAGTCACTGCTATAGGTACTTGAACCAGTTAGGTTCCTTACAAGTAATGTAATTATTAATTCATGCAGTCTTTTAGTTAATACTGCTTTGCATTTAGCAAGTATTTATTGAGTATCTGCTGAGCAGCAGGCTGCGGATACATGAGTGAAGAAAGCTGCTAAGGTCCTTTACAGTCTGCTGATGATACCAGGCCCAACTAACCCTGATCAACTGATAGAATCTAATTCCTGGGCCTCTTAAGCTGTAGGGTAAACTCTAGGTTGAACAGACTTATCTGAAATAGCCAGGCAGTTCTGCCTTTAATTACAAACCTTAGATCTGTGAAAAGAGAAGGGAAGAGGTGGCATGGAGAAAGGTAAGAAGAACCACCAGGTGAGGTACTAATCCCATTCCAAGCACTGGAAAAGTGGCTGAAGCATCAAAACTACTTTTTTCTTGACACTGAGGATTGAACCTGGGCCTCACACACGTGAAGGATGAGACCCTCTGCCCTGAGCATCAAAGCTTTTAAGGTAACTGTTGCCACCCATTATTACTCTCGGGTTCCCGCAAAGCCAAAATAACCCTGTGACACATGGAACAATAAATATGAATTTGGCACAGGAGCTTCTAAATTCTTATCACCAGAGTGATAAGCCTGTCTTATATGCTAATCAGACGGCTGGTGGCTGGGGGCTCTTAAGATAGCTTTAGGATGGGCACTGGTTGTCAGAAAGACCAAGGCATGATTAGAGAGCTGCAATTTGCAGGTTTACCAGACCTCAAGAGCGAAAAGAGGCTGGGGACCTTTGAGGAGGGGAGAGGGGCTGCAGACCAAGCTAATGACCAGTGATTTAATCACTCATGCATACATAATAAAACTGCCACAAAAACCCTGAACAAAGGGGCTTCTGGGTTAGTGAACACATCTACATGCCAGGAGGGGGAGCCCCCAATGCCACAGGGAGAGAACCCCTATACCCATACCTGTCTGGACCTTGCCCTATGCACCTCTTCATCTGACTGTTCACCTGTATCCTTTGATGAACAGCAAGTAAAGGGTCCTCCTGAGTCCCATGAGCCGTTATGGGAAGTTATTACACATGAAGAAGGGGTCATGATTTGAAGCCAAGTTAGACAGAAGTGTGGCCAACCTTGGGACTCACTACTTGTGAATGGCATCTGAAGTGGGATTATCGTATGAGATGAGGTGGGATTTGGGCTGAGTCAGGGTAGTTAGTGTTAGAATTGAGTTAAGTTGTAGAGCCAGACTGGTGGCGCATACCTGTAATCTTAGCTACTTGGGAGGCTGAGATTGGGAGGACTGGGGTTTGAGGTCAGTCTGGGCAAATAGTTCATGAGACTCCATCTCCAACATAACCAAAGCGAAATGGACTAGGGGTGTGGCTCAAGTGATAGAGCACCTACTTTCTGAGTGCCTGCTTTGCAAGCTCTAAGTCCTGAGTTCAAATCCCAGGTCCCCCACCCCCCACCCAAAAAAAATTAGAGGCACCAACTCCTAGTTGGTATTGCAGTGAACTGGAAAAGTGTTTGGTGGCTGAAGCATTTGGTGGGTAGAATCCTAGCAGAAGTAATAATTTCTGAACAGGGAAGCAGCGAGAAGGTGGACTGGGTGAAAAGCTCTGTACGGTGGGTTTATGAAGCTGGGTTCAGGAGCATGCCTAGTAAATTGCTCATGTACAGTCTTTTTAATTTCTTTATCACCCACTTAAATTAAAGCGTTTTGATAGGGAAGAAATCCAAAGCCTGGGAGGAAGAAAGGTTACAACTTCGCTCTGTGTTAAATATTCTACCATTGTCTTTCTCACTCAGCAATGATATGGACTAACACAAAAGCTCAATTTACAGTCTTTTCAGCTGTCTAGGGGAAAATGGCACTGACTGATTTAAAGTCATTCAGTCCAAACTGAAGCCTCAGAGCTGGGCCTGAGAAGGCTATTTCTACCTAGATCAACACAGTAGCATCTCTGACCTTGTGCCATGGTGAGAAAGATGAGGACAAAGCAGTCTGTATCCATTCATGCAGCTCTAGGAGACTGTGAGGACCAGGACATGTGCGCAGGACCTTTGTCACAGAGAATTCCCAAGACACACAGACAGACAGACAGACACACACACACACACACACACACACACACACACACGAGGTTCACTAGGGCAGGCTAGTTTCTCATTTTTCCAACTTCAAGGGTATAATGATCTCACACAGAATGAGGGTCACTGGAATAAATGTCCTAATTTAATTCTGTCAGCTAGAGGTTAGCTTTAATTTGGACTGCGAAGTAATATCACAATGGTGGCAACTCCTATTTCTTGGACTAAATGTTATTCCATGAAATTTGAAAAAAAAGGAAATGCCTATGGGAAGGTCTACTGCTATTATTAAAATAAACATCCAGGCCATTTGCCCTCTTCTGAGAGTGAGGTCTCAAGTAGGGCGGAAGAGACTTTCAATTCATGTGTCCCTCTGAGCTGCCAGTCAGAGAGATATTAGGAGATGCAAGTCTGAGAGACTGTTGGAAGTAAATTTCCAACAAGTGGTTTCAGCTGTGAAGTGCAGTCTCTGGGGTACAGAGATGGAAAGAAGGAGGGGAGCACTGGTGGTAGTCAGTGGTGCCTGGGATCGGCGAGAGGCCACACTGAACCATGAGGGAGGAGACTGTCAGACTAGTGATGGAAGAAGGGAGCAGGAAGGATTAGTGGTCTTTGTCCTTTGCCTTCCACCTGGTCACTCATTCTCCCACTTGTGGGAGGCATTACCAACATCTGCTTCTCTGCTACTTCTATGCAAACTGGAGAATTATGCTTTCTAGCTCTCCAGAAGTTAAGTGTGGTCGTGCGACTTGCTTTGGCCAATGCAAGGGAGTGGAAATGATGTGTGTCATTTCCTGGTAGAAGCACTCTAAAGGCTGAGCTTTATTTTCATCCTTTCCCTCTCCTGCTTTGCCCAGGTAAATGTACCTATTGATGCAGAAGGACAGTAAAGTTGAAGAGATAGAGAGAAACTGTGTGTGAGTCAAGGAAACAGCCAAACAAAACCAATGGCTCTTTGTTAAAGCCACTGGGATTTCTGTGTAGTCAATCCCAGTGTCCTGCTCTGTCTCCTGTTTCTTTCTGAAGACAATCTCCACTCACCACTCTTCCTTATCTTCTTTTCCTTTCTCTCCTCTCCCCTGTACTCTGTGATGCCATTGTGCTTCTAATTTGTGATAATAAGTACAGTGTTTTATATTCTTAATCTAAAACATGGATAAATTTGTGTTTTTGTAAGAAAAAAGGGTATTTTTAAAATTAAACACTTTATATTTCACCTTAGCTTGTGTGAAATTGTATGCTCTGAAAACTTTCTCATGTGATAGAAACAAATGAGGTTACTATTGCAGGTAGTATCCACATTGTATGGGCTAATGGCTCCCAGGGAAAACAAAAACAAACATTAACCTTCTGCAAACATCATGCATAACACCCATGCAGCTAAACATGCCCCAAGCTTCCCCAGAGCAGCTCTGAGCAGGAAGTCACTTCTGGGGGGGTCCAGGAGCTGACTCAAGGCCACAGGACATCTAACACTATCCGAAGAGCTATTCACTTCCATGCACATTCATTCATGTCACAGCGTTAGACCTGCGGTCACCCTCCTGATCCCCCAAAAGTTGTTTTAAACAATTATGGTCACACTAGACACAAAACAGCAGAAAACGAAAGAGCAGGAAAATGCAATAGACTGACCAACCGTGCATACTTCAAAAAGCACAACAGATTTTTTTTGTGCACTTGAAAAAAATTCAACACGCTCTGGTTCTGAGCAAACCTGCTCCACTCAGTGAAAATGACCTGGCCTTTGAGGCCATTTTACAACACTGTGGAGGAACTCCTGAGAGTTTTGCTCATAACCAATTCCTCAGAGATGAGTGGTACAGGGAGGAGAGGGGAAGGTACAGACGTTTACACAGGGAACAGAATGCATGCAAAAGGAACAAGTCCAGGGGAAAATTCTGAAGTCTACTTACTGCCTGCTTTTGCTCTTCCTCCTAGAGGTGTTGATGATGAAAAAAGGCAGAGAAGAAAAGGAGAGATATTAATGCCCTCACCTCACACACTGGGAAGAAAGGACAGAAGAAATCAGGTGAACCAGGCCAGAAGAGGGCCAGTAGGACACAGCAATTGGTAGGCCTGCCCAGCTAGTTAATGCAGTGTTAACTTCTAGAGGTGCAAGGAAAGAACCTTAGAAACCACCTAGTCCAACTTCTTCATTTTCAGATGAAGAGGCCTAGAAAGCCTGGCTTGCCTAAAGTTACAACTATTTAGGGAAAAGTGAAAGAGGAAGTTCAACCATGGCTTAAAATCCTAATTATCATTCTGTTTTACCACTCAACATATTTGCATGTATTTAGGTCCACTCATCTAAGCTAGCTGCTCTCAAGGTAGGGACCACAGACCAGCAGCACCTGCTTCACTGGGAACTTGTCAGACAGAGATGCAAATTTTGTTGTCCATCCCAGGCCAATAAACTGGAAAGGCTTCAGGACCCTGGGAGGCCTTTCAAGAAAGAATTCTCAGGACTGGGGAGGCTGAGGCAGGAGGATCTCGAGTTCCAGTGTACTCCAGCTTGGGGTATATTGTGAGACTTTGTCTCAAAAAACAATTCTCAACTTCAGATCTTTATTAATTCAACACAGGTTGATTTGATAATTCTTATGCATAAGACACTGTAAACAAAGATTTCTGTCTTGTAGAATCTTACAGTGAGGGTAGGTAAAGCAGGCACTTGCTAACTACAGTTGACTGATCAGATGAATGCACCATGGGACACTGTAGAAAAAAGTGACATTGTAGAAAAAACCCCAAAGAGGACAAGATAAACTTTTGAGTTTCTCTCTCCTAGGCCCTTTGCTCCTTGGACAATTTGTCTTTTTTGATTTTGTCAATACACGAGTTGGAACTCAAGGCCTTGTGCTTGCTTGGCAATCACTATACCATGTGAGCCATGCATGCCCTAGTCCTTTTGATTTTTAGTTTATTTTTCAAATAGGGTCTTGTGCTTCTGCCAAGACTGGCCTCTGATGGCAATCTTCCTACCTCTGCCTCTCCAATAGCTGGGATTACAGGCATGCACAGCCATGCCTGGGTCGTTCTTTTTTTTTTTGGTGGTACTTACTGGGGTTTGAACTCAGGGGCCTTGCATTTGCCAGGCAGGTGCCTCTACCACTTGAATCCCACTCCCACCCCCAATCCCAATCCCTTTTTCCTTTAGGCATTTTTTGAATTTATGTCTTGCTGGTCTAGAATCCTACTTATGCTTCCCGTGTAGCTGGGATGACAGGTACACACCATTCCATCCAGCTTTTTATTGGTTAAGATAGGGTCTCGTGGACTTTTTGCCTGGGGTGGCCTCTAGCCTTGATTCTTTTGATCTTTGCCTCCCTAGTAGCTAGGATTATAGGCATGAGCCAATGTGCCCAGCTTTCATTCTGTCTTTTAGTGGGTCTCTTCATTTCTTCTTTCTGTGCTCATTAATGGGTGACTAGTTAGGGAGCCTCCACTCTGCCCCAGAATGTAAAGGTAAACGTGGCTGCAATGCAGCTACTTAAACTGGACCCAGGGGTACATGAAGTCCCCCCTGAACTCAGGTGAGGGACTCAGCACGGGATATGCGCTTCTGCTCTCACAGGGTCTGCAGGTCTGGGGGCGAGGGCAGTGTGACCTCAGGAAAGCAAGGGCACTGCACAAGGGAAAGGGTAAATAAGAACTTGGAGGAAATAGTTTTTATTCCTGCACTGGAGAGACACAACGAGAAATTAAATGAGCACCGTGAGACCCCTTGAGGAGACTCTGGCTTGGGCAGAAAGGTGCTCATAAGAGTCACAGTCAGCTGCCAGGGATGACTCAGCCAAACCTCCAGGGGGCAGGCAGAGGCCCTGGGGCCCGCTCAGCCAGCCTGAAGAAGGCAGTGGCTTTTCCCAGTCTACCTGGCAGCACAGCTCTGATTGGGAGGGGTTAGGAAGCATCTCCCTTGCCAGCAGCCGTCCCTCAGCACAGGACACCGCTCACACCCACCAGGCAAGCAAACACCACAGAGGAAGTAGAAAATCATGAAAACTGTGTTCTCGTTGCTGGCGCTACGTACTGGGGTAGATGTTGAGATCATGGTGGTGGGGTGTGCAATCCCCACAGGCCGACACCCTACCTGAGTCAGAAGACCAATATGTAATGTCTTAGATGGTTTCTAAGACACCTCCCTGGCCTCTGTTTTCCCCAGCTTTGGTATTGGGTTGAACAGAACAGAGACATTTCAGAAAGCAATGTTTCATGCTTGCATACGTGTGTCCCAGTACACGAACTCATTATGGTTTCAGGTGGACACACAGGTTAGGGTAGGATGGACTGGTGGCCAGAGCGGTGTTCTCAGGACTTAGGGCTTCGACATACCTTGGTGTTGGGAGAGGGGGGACTTTGGCAAAGTGTTACCTAGCATGGTATAAGTTAAAACTCACAAAAGTTGTTCAGGTAAAGTCTTTGAGGCTCTGTCACCACAGCAAACAGACCAGACAGAAGATTTTAGAACATTTTGGTTATCAATTAGTTAGATGGGGGTAGGTAAACATTGACTGATAATAAGGGATAGAGTCAACTTGATTTAAAGGGGATCATGATAGCTGAATTATAATGTGCAAACCTGCAAGTCTCTAAAAACATGTTAATCTCTTCCACATGGAGGAAGTCTGGCCAGGAGGCCAAAGTAATGGCAAAGTTATTGTAGTCATCTATGCAACAATTTACATGCTAATTAGATAAACATTTGTAAGTGGGGTTGAGATCTAAAACTGCAGAATTCATCTGGTAAATATATTTCAAAAGCAGTATCAGGCTAGGCATGGAGGTACACACCTGTAATCCCAGTACTCAGGAGGTGAGGCAGGAAGCTATGAGTATGAGACCAGCCTGGGCTACACAGTGAGACCCTGTCTCAAAAACAAAAAACAAACAAACAGTAAAACCAACATCAAACAAATACCCCTAAACAAACCAAACCAAAAGCAATATCAGAAAAATGAAAAATGAGATAGAAAAATGTTGGGAGCATGAGTTAGAAATTGAAACACCAACACATAACCGTTTCTAGATTAAATCAGGACTTCAAGTGAGGCAGAGGTTATCCGCCTACTTGCTAATTGGGGACAATGTGGGGAAAACATGTACAGAATGTGGGTATCTGAGTGTCAGTGCACATCGTATTACCAGAAGAACAAACAAATGAGAAGCTCCCTGGTACTCTGTGGTGACAGGGATGGAATCTAATCACCACTATTCACCAAATACCTAACATGACACGTAAGAGCTTAATGAATTTTTGTTAAATAAACCTGATTAGTCTTAACCCTGTGTTGTTTTCCAATTGTAAGAGAAACAGCTAGAAATACAAAGAAACTCAGGGTTTGGGGCTACCATTCCAGGCACTAGCCCATTCTGTTTGGCCCTTGAATACAGACATCAATGGCACACTTCAAGGTCACAGTGGTCCAGGTGGGGCTCAGAGACAGAAGCTCTGAGGAAGGCTAGAATAATCCAACCAAGGGAAAGTGGACCATGTTACTTAGGGCAAATGCACTGACTTCCTCACGGTTTGCTAAAAACCCTTGGCCTTTCACAAAAATCATACTGTGGCACCTTCTGTGTGTGGGGATTGCCTGAGGGATGCTGACACAGCGAAGTGTCCTGTCCTATGGGAACACCAACTCCACATAGCAGGGCTTTCATTGGCCCCCACGGCTCTAGGTGTGACGCGGGCCAAAGATGTTTATGTACACTGAGCTGATGTGAGTGGGGGATGGGGTCATTGAACTGGCTAGTTGGCAACTGCTAGAGAGTTTTGAATGAGGTGTTTGGATAAGGCTTTCTTTAAAACAGATTCATTTAGGTATGAATATTTCTGAAGGGAAATCCAAGTAACAAGGTCAATGTAGAAACACATCCATGCAAAACCATCCAAATGCCAGGACTAAGGGAGGAAAAAAATCTCAGTTCAAGACTAAAAGAACTAATTTGTCTTGAGGAAGAAAAAGTTGGCTTAAAACACAAGCATGACAATTGTGCAGATGGCACTGGCTTAGAACTTGAAGCTGAGAAGTCTCCACGGTGTTGCTTTCTTGAGCTATCACTCCTAGGTAAACTCTTGGCGCCTTGAGCCTGGATGGTTACACAGTCTCCTGTTATCCTTTAGTGTCACCTGTCCCAAGTATTTTCCTAAATTTAGTTTTTAAAGACTTCAATGACTCCTCTTCATCTCAGCATTCAGTTCACTCCCATGGCCCCCACTGGCTGCTAACTGTGTTGTACTATAAAATGCAGTGGGTTCACCGCACAGACAGGTAGGGCCTTAGCCACTAACAGCATGAATAAGTCTCCTGGTGTTGCTGCCACACAACCAGGTAAGTGTTTCTGTTCAGTGCCAATAAAACTGCCCAGGTAAGGGTGTTTCAATACCAACCATTCCTTTCCCTGCTCTGGGGTAAGGGGTTGTAATAAACTTTTCAACAAAGATAGAAAAATCTGAGTCATTCTGGATTTATTCAGGTCCTGAATATATTAACTTACAGCTAAAATGCTGTTTTATTCGGAATACAGTAAAGTTATTACTTAGAATTGAGTTTGATTAGGCTGGTTTGTGTGATGGTTACATTTATGTGTCAGCTGACTGGGTTAAGACATAGATAACTGGTTAAATTTTATTTCTGGGTGTGTTTGTGAGGATATTTCTAGAAGAGACTGGCATTTGAGAGTAGGCCAAGTAAAGATCTGCCTTCACAATGTGGGCGGACATTATCCATCCCACTGAGGAATGGGAGAGAACACAATGGTAAGGAAAGCAAACGTGCTCTCTCTTCTGGAGGGGGACATTTATCTCCTCCCATCCCTCGATACTGGATCTCCCCCCAGTTCTCCAGACTTCAGACCCAACGCCCCTCCCCTGTTACTCCATCAGCTCCCCTGCTTCTCAGATTGTACCACAGGCTTTCCTGGGTCTCCACTGCGGGACTTCTCTGCCTTCGTAAGATGCCAATTCCCTTTATACATCCCTCTTACATAACTACATCTATTTATTGATTCTGTTTCTTTGAAAATACCCTACTAGTTTACTTTGTGCTACTATTAAAATAGAACACTTGACATTTGTTAAGTATTTAGGTGGAATATCTAAGAACCTGGGTTGTTTTTGGCAGTATTGGGGTTTAAACTCAGGGCCTCATGCTTGCTAGGCTTGTTAGGTAGGCACTCTACCACTTGAGCCACTCTACCAGTCCTTTTTTTGTGATGGATTTTTTTCAAGATAGGATCTCAGGAAGTATTTGCCACAGGGTGGCTTTGAACCTCAATCCTCTTGATCTCTGCCTCTTTAGTAGCTAGGTTTACAGGCATGAGTCACTGGTTCCTGGCTGAAAACCTGTCTTAAAAGAAATGTTAAGTAGTTGAGAAATATCATTCATTTATATGTAAGTAATGGCCTTTTTATTTATAGCCTTAACTAGACTATATTTATGGAGGTTTGCCTGAAAGCTTTTTCTAGGCCTGACAGTCCAGTCTTTGGCCTCATGCTGTTCTAACACCACAGGGAGGCAGCAGCTGAGGCCATGGTGGGAGATGAAGGAGGCAAGTGAAGGGGAGAGGATCCCGGAGGGCCTAGCTCTTACCTTCAGCAGCTTCATCAGCCCCTCCAGCTGGACCATCAGCTCCCGCCTGCTCTCCTGGAGCGCAGACATCCTCTGCTCCAGCTCATCTTTCCTCTGCCTGCCCATCAGAAATGAAGCTTTGTTGTGTGACACAAGCCAGAGACTGGTACGCCTGAACTCATGCAAATTGGTCAAAACCAGAAGAGTGTCAAATATCTACAAATGAGTCCTGCTCTTCGTGTCATCTGATGAGCAAGGTTCTTAGTACTAATACCCACGAACTTACCAATCTCCTTCACTGTTAGCCTTCTGAGAAATTACTTACTATTCTAAAATCCTACAGAAACTCTTCCACAAGTTTTAAAGTTTTGTCTTTGTGATTAATCCATCTGGTGCTGGTTTTCTACTTCAGAAGACCAATACGTCAGCCCGTACGCACACTTACTCCCTTGTCCCTTCTTTCCTCAGGATACAGGAGCTCCTTCTGGGATTAACTACTCTCTGACTCCTCAAGCATTAGACCTCCATTGGACTTAAAATTCCTGCTTCTTGCTGTCTTATGTGGCCCCCCCAGGACTCAGTCCTGTGCTGACTAAGTCTGTGCTGGTTTTCAGATCCTTTCAAGCTTGACTGAGTACACTTTGCAACTTCAGTTCCAGCAACAGTTAGACTCCAGGAAGACAGCTTCTGCTTCTCTAGACATAAAAATTCATTTGTGCCTGAGCTGAGCTGACAGTCTACTGTTCTCTTCTGACTGAATCTGCGTGTTTCCCTATCCCTGGTATAACACCAATCATGCTAATAACGCCCCAAATGTGTGACAGTGAACCATGGGGCAACCAAAATTTTAGCCCAACTCAATTGAGAAACCGAAATGAGTGTTTAGGAGAATGGGACTCTACACACCTCCAAAGGTTTTCATCTGAACCGTTTAAATTCTTTGTGACTTATTTATTGGTAATGTAAACCTATGGGAAAACAACAATCTCTATTCTCGAGGAAAAGAAATTATGGTTGAAGCTAAACAGCCTTAGCCAAAGAAAGAGCTGAACAAAAAAAAAAAAAAAAAAAAAGGAAAAAGAAAAAATAATGGTATTCAGCTATGCAGAATACCAGACAACAGCACATTAAAAATCAGCTGTATCCGGGCACCAGTGGCTCACACCTGTAATCCTAGCTACTCATGAGGCAGAGATCAGGAGGGGTCTTGGTTTGAAGCCAGCCCTGGGTAAATAAATTTGCAAGAACCTATCTTGAAAAAAACCCATCATAAAAAATGGGCTGGTGGAATGGCTCAAGTGGTAAGAGTGCCTGTGTAACAAGCGTGAGTCTGAGTTCAAACCCCAGTGCTGCCAAAAAAAAAAATCAGCTGTGGATGCCAAAGCTACAACCTCAAAGAAAGAACCACTACTGGGAATCTAGAGCGCTGGTGAGAACTGTCACCAGACCTGGTTTCCACAATGTCTTACTGAGGAGCACACACCTTTCCAAGGTGGGCAGGAAATAAGGCCCTAAGAACAGGTCAGAGTACGCTCATGTCATCTCTTTTGGGAAGCCTTCTCCACCCCCAAAAGAACATCCAACTGGAGCTGACATTGCACTCTTTCTGTGCTGATCTGGTATCCTTAGTTTCTCAGTCCTTGAGTCACTTTCTATTTAGGAAGAGGTGGAAAGGCACCACAATCAAGGTGCAAGGGATTCACCCTTGGTTCCATGTTGCAGAGGACACAGGAAGGTTCCTTCTCCAGTGGAGTCCTGCTCTGACTAAAGCACCAGGAGAATATACTCGTTCCTGTCAAGAGTCTCTAACGTCACACCACTTGGCAAGAGAAGAGGAACGGCAGCACTACGGTCTTCTGCAGACAATCATACAAGTATAGACACAGCCAGCTTGTCCCAGGATTTGAGGGAGCCTGGCATTTTACCTAGCTTTGTACTGATGGCCCAGTCTCCTTTGTGTGAGTAAGGATGGAACTCTTTAGCAGTCTCACTGGTGACACTGATAAACAGATTCCATCCCACTAGTTTGGTTTCCTAAGATGCAGAGGACAGTTTGGGGACAGATGTGCACTCACCTCAGCAGCCGCAGCTCGCCAGCAGCGTGGGGTTCTGCTGGGCCTTCTCTGGAGTGGGCTGGGAAGCCTGCTCGTGCTCCAGACGCAGACGCTGGATCTCCTGCAGGATCTCTCTAGAGAGGACGAGGAGAGAACAACGGCTGCAGTGCTCACCAGTCCCATTCTCTGTCCTGTTAAACGTGTTTGCCCTCACTGTGCCTCTTCTACCAATCATGGTGAAATGCACACCTTCTTAATGCCACTTCAGCTGACACTTCCTCAGTGAAAGAATCCTTTGTGTCAGCTGCCATGTCTTCTCTAACGCATGTTATACTAGGTCCAGTCTCCCTGTCCTGGTTTCTACCTTTCAGCACCTGGTGGTATGATGTCTGGTCTCATGCCTTTAAATGGTATTTTAAGTGGCTTTTTTGTGAGAGCAGTCCCATGTGCTGGAATGGACAGGAGAGGAACAGACAAGAGAAAATGCTGCTAGGATGTAGAGTGGAGAAAGAAATGGTGAGAGGACATAATGGTGGGAGAGACCCTGGGACAGAGTTGGGGGGTGGGGACTCAGACTCAACAACCTGTGAGCATCCACCAATCAAGAGTCCAGGGCATTTCTGTGTCCGCTGGGGTGGGATCACCCTGTGTGGTCCAAAGCATCTGGTGAGGAAACAGACAACCAGACACTCACGTGGTAACCCTGGGCTCTGCCACACGCTCTTACCTGTTCTTGTTTTCCAGTTCTGCAATGAGCTGCCTCTGTTGCTTGTTGGCATCGAAGTTAAAGCCCATGTCAGTGGGAGGACGAGTCTGGAGGGGGACAGAGCTGCTTTTTCTAATTTGATCTGGGTCTCACCGTTCACATTTTCAAAAACTGATTTTTGAGGTATCACTTACAAACCATAAGATCTACCCATTTTAGGTGTACAATTCAATTAGGCTTAAGGAAATTTAAACAGTTGTGCAACCAACCACCACAGCCCAGTCTTAGAACATTTCCATCACCAGACTATCCAATCGTTTCTCACTAGCCCTGACCTCAGGCAACCACTGATGGGCTTTCTGTCTAGTTGTGCCTGTTCTAGAAATTTCATCTAAGTGGAGTCAAACTACATGTAGCTCCAGGTCTCATTTCTACCTAGCATGAAATTTTTGAGGTTCATCTCCATGAGTCAGTATTCCATCTTTTCTAGCTTTGGGCTAATGAAGCCACTAGGAACTTTCATTTATAAGTCCTTGTGTCAGTGTATGTCTTTATTCCTCTCTCTTTTTTCTTTTTTGTAGGACTGGGGTTTGAACTCAGGACTTCACACTTGCAAAGCAAGTGCTCTACCACTTAAGCCACAACTCCAGTCCATTTTGCTCTGGCTATTTTGGAGATAAGGGTCTTATGAACTATTTGCCCAGGCTGGCCTTAAATTGTCATCCTCCTGATCTCAGCTTCTCGAGTAGTTAGGATTATAGGTGTGAGCAATCAGTGCCTGGCTTCTAATTGTGTGTTCTTAAAAAAACATATATGTGCAATGAAAATCTGATTTTGAAAGTATATAATTCAGTGATTTTTAGTGCATTTATGAGGTTGTGAAGCCGTCACAACCATCTAACTCCAGAATAATTTCATTATCTCCAAAAGAAACCCCACGGCCATTATTACTCACACTCCCCCTCCCTTTCCCATCCCCTGACATCTACCATTCTACTTTGTCTCTGTAGATTTGCCATTCTGTATATTACCTATGAACGAAAGCATACACTATGTGGACTTTATGCCTGGCTTCCTTCACTGAGCAAAATTCTTGTAAGATTCATTCATGTTGTACACGTATCAGTACTTTATTCCTTTCTATGGGTGAATAATATTCCACAATATGGATATACCACATTTCATTTACCTATCCAACAGTTAGTAACATTTGGGTTGTTTCCACTTTTTGGCTATTTTGAATAGTGTTGCTATGAACATTTGTGTAGAGATATGTTCTTACTTCGTGAGTATATATCCAAGAGTGGAATGCTGGGTCATAGGTACCTGCCTTTTGAGAAACTGCCAAAGTATTTTCCAAAGTGGTTGCATTACTTTCCCACCAGTAATGTATGAGGTTTCTGTTTTTAACTTGTCCTTGTCAACACTTGCTCATCTTTTTGTTCAGTCATTGTAGTAGACTTGAAGTAGTGTTTCATTACGGCATTACGGATTCATTTTGTGTTTCCTTAATAGCTACCAGGTTGAGCACACTTTACGGGTTTGTTCGCCACTGTGTGTCTTTGGAGAAGTTACCTGGGTATGAACTGCATGTCCACTGATGCTCAGGATCCGTTACCTCTTCTAAGAACATGGTAGCCACAAACGCAAAATGGGAAAAGGAAAGGGGGTGATGAGGTGATGGTCTCTTTTACTGAGAAACTAGAAGTGGTGCTCTCAATGAGGGCTCTGTGACGGCCATGACTTGTTTTGCAGAGCCTTGGTTCTGTCTGAAACACGACTACATAAAGAAGAAACCGTTTCCTGCCTGGAGCTCGAAGATTCAATAACTAACTCTTTTCAGATGGTTTTCTAAACAAACAGGGGCAAAGCAGCATAGCAAATCTGAGTGGGAGGATTTTTACCAGATTACTAAATATTTTTCTTTTTTTAAAAGAAAAAAAAAAAAAAACCAAGATGATTTTTCCTCAAAGAAGTGTGGACCAGGAGCCAGCTGAGTAAATTCTCCATTTTGTATTCAGTCTTGTTAGAGCCCAAGTTGAGATCATGTTGAGGAAAATGACTTGTTTGAGACTGAACTGGGCTATGAAAAGTAGGTAATTCCTAAAAGAAATTGCTGTCTGTTAGGGTGGGATGAGGGAAAATCCAGGATGAGGAAGTGAGTGCTTCATGACGACAAAAGCTCTATGACATTTTGCTGAAGATATCTCAAGAGCCTTTCCAGTTTTGAGTGCCTGACAAAGCTGAGGCCTCTCCCATAATCAAAGTCCTTAACAACAGATATTCCTAACTAGGCCAGACTTTCTGGCTCCCAGAAGTACAGCTAATCAAACAGGAAGTGGGAGAGAAGATTCCAGCCATGGGCACCAGGTCCACTTGCCACAAGAGCATGGAGCAGGGCTAGGCTCCTCCACCTGGCCGTGCTGGCAGGGAGAATGTCTCTGTGACAGCTTACTTCATGTAACCAAAACTTAAATATATGGTCAAGTTGCTGTGCTTTGAGTGTCCCCCCCCCCAATGTTTCCTGTGTTGAAATTAATTTAATCCCCATTGTGAGGTATTAAGAATATGGAAACTTTTTTTTGTGTGTGTGTGGCGGTACTGGGGTTTGAAATCAGGGTTTTTTTTTTTTTTTGAGATAGGGTCTCACAAACTATTTTCTTGGGCTGGCTTCGAACTGGGATCTTCCTGATCTCTGCCTCCTTAGTAGCTGGGATTATAGGCGTGAGCCACCAGCCCCTGACTAACAAGGCAGAAACTTAATCAATTGGTACTCAGAGATGGGATCTTTGGGAGGTGACTGGGATTAGATATGGTCACTCAAGTGGCGTCCCCATGACTGACAGAAAGCAAGAGAGACCAGAAGACAGACAGACACATACATACTCACAATCCCTGGCCTTACCGTGTGATATTCTGCACTGCCTCACAACTCTACCAGCAAGAAAGCCACCACAGATGTGGCTCCTTGATCTTGGACCACCAGAATTGTGAGCCAAAATAAACCTTTTTTCTTTATAAAGTTAAGTCTGCCTTGGGTATTCCAGTACAGTAATGAAAAAAAAAAAAAGGACTAATACACAAGTGTGCATTAAATAACAGAGAAAACTTAGGATTTTATTTATTTATGACCTTAAACACCATGGGACTTCTTCAAGGAAAAAAACAGTCACAGTTCGCTTCCTAAAATGTCTCCTGTACATTGAAGGTAACAAGACAGAAACAGACACAGGATACATTGGCCAGAAGGCATCTGAGATGATTTCTTTCAAGAATTAAATAGTTTGTGCATTTGTTTCCTGGCACCAACTCTGTGCCAGGCATGTTGAAGCACCCAGGGATGACTGGTGAGTGGGACACTGTCCCCACCCTTGTGGGGTGTGAAGAGAGACCAAAACATGAACACACGCGTCAGCAGCGATAAATGTGACAAAGAAACACATGGCAAGGACATAGCTGGGACAGAGGACTCTTCTTTCAGTGAGAAGAGCTTCAGGGATGTGATGATTGGAGGAAGCTGGGAAGCCATGCAGGGCAGAGTAAGGCAAATGTTGAGGCCTGCCTTTGGGCCCTGCTTAGTTAGTTGGAGGTGAAACAGCTGTAAGTTTAGAAAAGTTATACAGAGGAATTCTGTACTCATCTCACAAGAGTGTTTAATTCCCTATACAGTCGTTTTGGTAAAGACCTACCTGAAAGAGAGGCTGGATTTGCATCAAGTGATAGGGTTTCAAACAAAGGAGGCAGCCTGGAGCTGCAATTTGTGAAAGGACTCTGTCCTTCATCGAAGTATACACGAGTGTACACAAAGAAATTTCAAGTGCCTTAGGAGGTATCATGTTTATGGTTCCACATTCTAACTTGCTTAAAAACATACTGGGAACACTTTACACACAGGAAATGAAGAGCAAATAAGGAGACATTTCCATCTACTTGCAACTAGATTCAACAGTCGCCAAGATTTTGCCCCATTTCTTCCTCTCTTCATGTTTTCTTTCTTTAGTGAAATACTTTTATACAAATACTTCTCATATTTGAGTAGACATCTTTAAATATTTTAAACCAGGTTTTGACCAGCTGACCAACCTCTGGTTGAGTGAAGAGGGCTTCTACTGAGCAGCAAGTCATTCAGCCAGGGCCTACCTGTTCCCTCCAGCCTGGAATACTTCAAGGCAAGAGAACTCCTGCCTGGATTCCCAGGGCTCCTAAAGCTTCAATTCAAGGATGACTTCACCAAACCCATCCCCTTTACCCTTAAAACGAAAAAATAGGCCAGCAGCTCTATTCTCGAAACTTTTCTCAGAGTAAGGAGCCAACTTAAAACATTTAGGAACGTCCTGAAATCTGTATTGAACGAGGTCCACTGGAAAAACTCAGGTGGGCCCATTTCCCAAGGAGCTCATGGTCTCTGGATTACCCTACACTCTGGTAGCAAAAGCAGCATTCTTTGTGGGTGTCAGAGAACTCACTTGCTTTTGGATCCTTTGATTATTTTCTCTGAATTTTCTTTTATTCAACAATGTAATTTTTTTTCCTGTGGGCAGTTCTGGGGTTTGAACTCCAGACCTTACACTTGTTTGCTAGGCAGGTTCTCTACCAGTTAAGCCATGCCCACAGCTCAAAAAATTTTGCTCACTGCAATTTTTTTGAGACAGGATCTCACTACAGTGCTTCTGAAATATCCACAGAGTTCGAGATGCAGAAGGCTCTCAGCATGGTGGCTATTATTTCTATTTTAGGTCAAAAGATTAGGCAAGGTAATCTCTGGAGGAAAAAGACTTTTCAAATGCTTTAGAAGTAAAAGATGGATGAGTTTAGGGGACAAACGGTGAGAGATCAGTTGGAAAGTTAAATAATCAATGATGAATCCAGAATGATGAAAGGGGGAAAAAAATTAAGAGACTAGTGGAGCATATTATAAGCATTAAAGCTTTAATGTCTGAGAATGAAGACTCCAAAGAGTGGGATCCCTTTACTCCTAGAAGGAGGCACCTCTCACTTCCTGAGATACCTTACCGTCCTCTTCGGTTTCAGTAGTCTCACAAGGCTCTAGCGCTTTTAAGGAGATGGAGACACATCTGAGAAATACAGGATAAGAAACAAGATATCT